TATAATCATATTTGGCCAGCACTACCCCAGATCCAATTGCAGAGGTTGCTTTGCAAGACCCCGCAACACAACTTCGTTGAGGATGTTGTAGGACTTTTGGTGGAGTCGAAATCACTTGATTAAACAGTAATAAATGCCTTCATACAGTGGGGAAATCACCTATAGTGCACCATATTTCTCTCTAGTTAGAGGGTCAGGACCCCCCACGCTGACCCTCTAACTAGAGAGAAATAGAGCACTGTAGGGCACCCCCGCTAATTCAAGCTTAGCGCGCTGCTCTTCTCAGCGGGGGAGACCGCTCACTGGCGGTCACTGGCCCGGCCCTTGCCCACCGTCACCCCGCCGTCACCCCCGCCGTCACCCCCGCCGCTCGCTGCCCCGACCCCGCCCACCCCGCCATCGTTGCCATCAGCGCGATGTGACGTCAACCCGATCAACATCAACGCCATCTGTCAACCCCGTGGCGACCGTTGACGCCGCATGTTCCGCGGCTGTCCCGGCCTGTCGCCGTTGACAGCCCGCCCCCCGCGCTTGCTGTGCTCGACATCGTTGAGCACAGTGAGCTCAATTCTTGTCCGTTTGACACGGGACCACATGTATTTGATAGATATGATGTAATACAGTTGATTTCCATCACATATAGGCCTGCGCGTGCTCGGATCACCCGGCCGACCCCGCGACTGCTGTCCCGCCCTCCTGTCCGCCCTCCGCCTGCCCCTGCCTGCCCCTGCCTGCCCCCCCGACTCAAAAAAATAAAAGTTGAAGATTTCAAATATAACACGTGCTGTATCGATCGCATCAATCAAATCGCGCGTTCGTTGCTGAGATATAGCGCGTTCTTGTTAACTCAAGTTGATGATGCAATTTTTCAAAAAAAATGAAAAAGTTGTGTATTGATTAGAAAACATGTGCATTACAATGTTTTATCACAAAAAACATGTTCATTGCTGAGATATGACGTGTTCTTGTTAACTCACTTTGCACTATATATGGTTGTTAACTCAACTTAGACCCCAAAAATAAAAGTTGCATTTTGACTAGATAATATGGAGAGGACAAGTCTCATTGAAAATAGTGGTTTTCTTGTTAAGATATGACCCATTCTTGTTAACTCATGTTGCTTGTTAACTCAACCCCACCTGGTTTAACTGATGGGCCTCTATCTCCATAACTACTTGACCTAAGTATATGATTCAACTACTACGTTCTCAAGGGTATTATCAATTGGACATGGTATTGGATTATTATCACATGATATAACAGCTATATTAACCATTCATTCATATAAAAGAGTATATGCAGGGCTTAAAATTGTAAGGTTGCTCACTCGTAACTTCAGATACCCTAGGCTAGGGCTCTAGTATGTCCTCTTCCAAATCCAAGTGGATAGGGCAGTAGAAATGCCATGCATTCTACTCATCAGTGGTATTTTGATTTCCATCAACTGTGAAAGATAACCTTGGATCTCCAGCTAACCTCACTAGATAAAACTGGGAAAGAGCTCATTCAAAGGGTATGGCACCCCACACCCATTTGGCACAATCATCCATATTATCTGCTCCCCACACCTTCATTTATTCACTGCCAAACATACTTCAGTACTGAGATGAGTAGTATTCTGTTGATATCCTGAGACCCTATGCATGGAATCTCATGATCCAAGTTGATATAGTATCATAGGTGAGTCCACCATCATTCTACTCAGTGATAACCATACAGTGATGATTGGAGCCAGTCAAATCCCAGAGGCCTTAGCTGTCATATAACATAGTGTGATGATATGTTGGAGGGATAGGGGCACCATTTTTCTAGAGGTGGATTATACCCCTACCAGTAGATATGCTTAAATTTGTCAGATTCACACAGCTCATCCCCTGGTAAACTCATCATTATTGGGATAGATAACACTGATAATGGTACTGTGAGAGATCCATAATAGCTATAGGGTTGATTCAAGTGCTGGACAGGTTCATTTGAGGGTCTATACCATCCTACATCCAAGTTTTGGATCATACTTGAAATTATTTTCTGACCAGTTGTAATAGCGAAGACACTCTCTTTTGCTCTATGGGTACCTACCCTCTCTTCAGATAACTTCTCTGACATGTGTAGAAAGTATAACTAATTGAAGGATAGGGTTCTGATAGACATCCACATATCCTTATACCTCCATCTCAATGTCCAATACTGAGGCTATAGACCTTACCAGTCATGTAAACTGGTTTTGCATCCAATCTATATTGGAATATCTGCCACAATTCATCCTCTAGGGACATGTAGATATCAATCAGAGCAAGTGGGTTGGTATATACACCTCATTGACTGAATTCTACGTGTCTTGATCTATAATCAACTTACAGATCATGGCTGCATTGCCAATAACATGTATAATAGCTTTCATGGTTATAATGGAGAGTAACATGAAATTACATGAGCATAAACATGGTGTGAGGGATATTATCTTATAGGTATGTTACTCTATATGCTCTACTCTCATTTCAATGAGGAATTCTTACCTGTGAGTGAGTTGTGGTCATATTGCAATAATGGCATACATACCATATATAAAGAGAGACAAGACGCTTAAAAATAGATTGGTTTTACAGGGCTATGATAGGTATCTATTAGACCAGAAAACAACTTCAATCGTAATTATCTATTCATTCTTGACCTAGATATCAAGACATCATTGTGGTTGATCAAATTTGAAACAAAAACACTTTAAAAAATAGTTTAACAGTATAGTCCCAAGGTATAAGACTATACTCATATCAGAACATCTTAAGACTATATTACTACCTATCTACCTGTATAGCAATCATCTACATCTATAAAGAACTGGTGGAGATATTGCTAGATCAATGGGTCTGATGAATAATCAATGAGTGATATAGGTGAACTAATAACATACTGTTGGTGGGGATATTGGTCTCATCATTTGGGTATCTAGAGTGGTGCTTCAATCAACTCTATAACTTGTCTACTTATTGAAATATCATCTTATTAGAATCATTGAGTTAACAATTATACTTATTACAAAGTGAGTTAACAAGAACACATCATATCTTGCCAACAAACATGTCTTTTCAGGTAAAACCTCTATAGCATATGTTTTCTGATCAAAATGTAACTTTTATTTTTTGTGATCAAAGTTGAGTTAACAACTATACGTAGTGCATAGTGAGTTAACAAGAACACGTCATATCTCGACAATAAACGTGTTTTTTCTGGTGAAACCTGTACTGCCCGTGTTTTCCAATCAATATGCAACTTTTTCATTTTTTTGAAAAATTACATCATCAACTTGAGTTAACAAGAACGCGCTATATCTCAGCAACGAACACGATTTGAGTGGTGCCACTTATACAGCACATGTTCTATTTTGATTTCCCAACTTTCGATTTTTTGAGTCGGGGGGCGGGCAGGGGCGGGCGGGAGGGCGGGCGGGAGGGTCGGCCGGGCAAGCGGCGCACGCGCGGGCCTAAATGTGATGGAAATCAACTGTATTACATCATATCTATCTATTACATGTGGTCCCGTGTCAAACGGACAAGAATTGAGCTTGCTGTGCTCAACGACGTCGAGCACAGCGAGCGCGGGGGGCGGGCTGTCAATGGTGACAGGCCGGGACAGCCGCGGAACGTGCGGCGTCAACGGTCACCATGTTGTTGACAGATGTCAGTGATGGTGATGCCATTGACGTCACCAACGATGGCGGCGCTGATGGCAACGATGGCGGGTGGTCGGGGTAGCGGCGGGGGTGACGGCGGGGTGACGGTGGGCAAGGGCCGGGCCAGTGACCGCCAGCAGGTGCTCTTCCTCGCTGAGAAGAGCAGCGTGCTAAGGTAGAATTAGCGGGGGGTGCCCTATAGGGCTCCAAACCCCTCTAGTTAGAGGGACAGCGTGGGGGGTCCTGACCCTCTAACTAGAGGGGAATATGGTGCACTATAGGTGGGGGAAATGCGGGGCCACTGGCCCATTAAGTACTTAGAGCCACGGTAATGCAGTATCTACTATCGAACGAGTTTCAAGTAATATTTGGATCCACGCGGCATCATGATGGAAACCTGCACTTGATGGCATAAGTTAAGTATTGCACATGGAGTCGCTGTCTCCCACTTCCGTCAATAGTATTTCTTCGGTTCGCCGGTCAGCGCTTCACGGGAGTCTATCCGAGCGACCTGTTCAGTTCAAATTGTGCCGCCGGCTCAACGGCTGCCAGGATGTCGCTGCTTAATTGCTAGAAAAGCCATGGGGAATGCGTGTATAACGCCTTCAAGTTCCTGAAGTTTATCCACTGATACTTAGTCCCTTTAAATTTGGATGCGTGCCATTGCGTACGAGACAGAGACCTGCAGATAGATTTGCGCAGGCAGATCGTTCTCCAATTGCAAGTCGTGTTTCCCCTTCTTGCTATTCGTGTCCCACGTTACTAGTACCGAACGCCGATCGCAGCACATTCAATTGAGGACTCGGATACTAGTACTGAACCTGAACAGCGGGTTCCCACGTTGTTTCAACTTTTGAACTTGAATCTCTCGCTCAGACATACTTAGACGACAAAAATAGCACAAAGACTGGTGTGGCATAGAAAATGAAGCGATATAGTACACACCGAGTAGAGCAATTTTTGGAGCTTCAATTAGTCAGTATCGATAATCGCAGACTCTTTTAGAACAAACAAGGAAATTAGTGCAGTGTGATTTTTATCCTTCCTTCCTTCCGTCGCGTGTGTCTGTTATCGGTGTTGAATAATGAGACATACCCCGTCGCGGCACGCACACGGCTAGCATCGCACTGCCGTTGTCCGTGTCCTAGTCGGCCTTGCTCCAGCTCATGACTTGGACTGTCATTGGGTCCGGGTGCTTATTGGTTTGGGTTTCACTAACTGTTCCTTTCGAAGTCTTCTGGTAGACAGGCCGAACGAAGCGCCTTCTTTGCCCCAGCCGGGCGTCGGGCCCCGTTTTCAATTCTAGTCAAGGGGAACGCAATCATCATGATTACGGCTGCAGCACCCGTGCCGCGCCAGCCCAGGCCACCCCAGCCGCTGCACTCCAGTCCCACCCTTGCTGCCCGTCAGCCAGTTTCATAACCACCCTCGCGGCCTCTGCTCTCCGCCAGGCAATTTCATCCCCAGGAAATGCGGAAGAAAGCTCGATCAGCGCGGCGTGCGCCGCTATCAGCGCCTCTCTCGTTACCTGACCGTCGATTTGAGCCGAGTGAATGGAGGCAATGTGGCGCTCCACATCAAAGACGAGCGCCTGGAAACGCTTTCCCCATGCAGTCGGCACTGTCCCGCCGGCCATGGAATGATTGTTCCAAACAGCGACGAGTTGCTTCGTGTCGTACAGCGCGAGGAACGATTGGGCACGGAGGGACAGCGCGTCGGGGTCATTTGGTAGCGTCTATAACTTGTGAGCTTTCGTAGAAATCATATTGTGACGAGAAGCTCACCATCACCCCATGGCGAAACCTGTCGTACACCTCCCCATCCAAACTCGATGGCGCGCCATCAACAAGCTGTGCTTGAATGTCGAGGAACACCACCTGTGCTAGTGCAGCCCTCACTTCATCCCCCTCCACATTTTCGTTGGCACCGTTTAATATGTGCCCCATCACGGAGGAAAGACCCCCCTTCAGCGCAATCGTCCCTGCCTCACCGACCAAAACCGCCCCAGCGGCACTGATACACTCTCGCGCGCTGCCCAGGTCCCGTTTCTGCGAGTAATACGCGTGCAAAAGCACCTGCAGTTGAACACACGTGACCGCGTCTTGCACGGGATCAGGATGCAATGAAGCCAATGCGGCGCGCACGACCGACAATATTTTCGTTTCGCGCGATGCCAGTCCCCAGGCGTTGGGTCCGGCGGGAAAGTCGTATTCGGGGAAGTGTTGAGGTGGGGAGGAGAAGGATATGAGGAGCTCGGCAGCGCGAACGAGGGCAGGGTAGATGGTGGTTCCAGAGAGGTCGCCTTGACATAGTGCGGAGAGTTTGGAGGGGGAAAGGAGGATGTGCTGTGATATTATGCTCGCCCTTCTGAAGTATGTTACGCGGGAATATGGAGAGTGGGCAACTTACGATTCGTAGTCATAGGAAGACATCGTGACTGATGTGTCCAGGAGACCGCACTGCAGCATATCCAGCCCGTCAGAGAGCACGTTCACGTCCAACTCCGCCTCTGTCCTACAGGTGTGGCCGCTAAACTCGTTGTCGAAATGCAACCGCGGCCAACAACTTTCGTTGTAGTTTTGTGGCGTCGTTGGCCGAGAGCTAGAAACAGAACTTGCGCTGCTGCTTGACAAGGGGCTACCGCCATCGGTCATGACGATATCATGGCGTTGCTTTCGTATCGTCTTGGGGGAACGAAGTTTGTCGCGGTAGGCGCACGCATCAGACCGGCCCGTTTGTTGACACGTCCGACAAGGAAAGTGTCCGTCGCATCGCTAAGAAGCCTCAGAATATTATGGTGGTGGTGACAAAGCAGGGAGACGCACGCGTTTGCGCTGACTACGACACTCTCTCAGTCAGCATGGCGTTCTTCAATTCAAACAATACACATACCGACACGTAGTCTGCTTTCCTGTCAGTAGGGGAGAAGAACAAAGAAAAAGTAATGCTCACACACGCCCCGCCCTTTGGCAACTCCGAACGCAGCTGGCCGATTGTCTTTGCGACATAGGTACAAACTACTGGAGTTCGTGTCCGTGTACATGGAGAACACGGTGAATTTCCGTCACAACGCTGTTATTCCATTAGTAGTCGGCAAGCAAAAAAGAAATGCGGCCATACGAGTTTGCGCTTCCGACACAGTACACAAGTCGGGGTTTTGAATTTCGCCAATCTTGGCGCCGTCTCTTGCGTAGACAGAGTGGGGGCAGAGGACATAGTGGGCGCGAAACGCCAGTCCCACGGCCTCGTGTGGTATTATACCATTGCCAAAGATCCAAAAGCAGCATGATATCGATGGCTGGTCGCGTTGGCCGTTAAGACGCCGCGTCAAGCGAAACAAGCCCGGGCGTCTGGTTGCAACGCGAGTCCCCGGCCGTGCCCGGTGCCCCCGTGTGCCGCAGTGCCATTTCAGGGCTGAGCCGCAAAAAAAGCAGAAAGGCTGGGAAGCGGATGGTGGAAAAGGGAAAGGAAGAGAAGCGGTGTCATCCATATGCATCAGATCCCACACGTCAACGATCGGCGACGGCACGGCGGGGTTGGTCGCCGAAACGATCGAATACAGGCTGGAGATTGTGTTGTCTTTGGGTTTGCATCGGAATATCCTTTATCTTTCGTCTGCTTCTTTTTATAGGAGGTACGGCCCGGGTGCCCACATACTCCCCATCCTCCGAGTCGTCGAATGCATATCATGCAGACCTTGTTCTGATCTTGAAAACTTGAAGCATTGGCACCTCAGTTGCTCGCTTCGTGTCACGGATTAATCACTCAGCTCTTGAGTCTGATCAGGCGCTCGGAATCAGATCCTCTTTAAGTTCCAGATAACGGATCCGGTACTGATGCAGACACAGGCGATCTACTCGAGAGTCCACGTGTGGCATAAGCATTATTGCTTACTGCTAGGATCAGAAAGAAACAACGATCTCGGAGCATTTCTCCGGTGACTGCTGCCGGTGCTAGTACTCGCATGGACGCACAGATCGGACTCGTCGGCGCACGGAAGACGAACGGGGCGGGCGCAACTAGTATGTAGTAGGTAGCGGTCCACACTGGCAGACTTGGAAATAGCAATTAGCATCCGCTTGGAACTTGAAGTAAGTTGAATGAAACACGCCCACTTGAACTACCCGGCTGTTCTTCAGAATTTAGAAACAGCGCCTGCATCATGATGTCGTGCGTCCCGCCAGATCGGGATAATACCGACGACTCCCGATAACTAGTCGCTCTAGTCTGTCTGTGGCCTGTTCAGACTCCACCTGCAATGCTTGAGACTTAAAATCAACTTGAATGACAGATGCTTCTGCGCAGATCGAAAGAAAAACTGGGAATCTTACCCTGGTTTTTTTGCGCCCTCGTAAACTTCTCGCACTTCATGGGCACGCTTCGGCAAGTCCCGACGGTCTTGAAGACGCCCGTATCGTATATCCTCCGATAGCGTCTGCAGCTGGAAGTCCACACGGCAACCGGTCTTCAACCAAATGCACCTGTTGCTGATGTCCAACTTTTCCGCGGGGCATTACGCAAAGTCGGCGATTAAGCTTCTTCACATGTCCTGCGGCGACTCCTGCCCCAAAGTGGAACACAGACGGCTCCCCCCAATGCATTCCCAGACGCGTGGTATGGTCCCTGTGGCCGTCGGCATGCGGCCCGCGTATTATCCATAAGCCTGTGGTGCCAGTGGACAACCAATCTACCACAGAATTTCAGCACGAGTCCTTTTCTGAGTCGCGGCATATCGTCACCAATATTGAACCGTATAATTGAATAATGACCGCGACGATTCCCGTGAGGAACGGAATTCAGGTTGTACCATGCTACTAGTGTCTTGAAGGACCTTGTATGCCCTGAAGACGTGGCGCCGTATGATAACAAGCACGCGTGCACAGATGCCGAACAAGCCCTGCCAATCGCTGAGCAAAGAATGGTGAGACTGGCAGTGGCTTACTTATCAATAAATAGTAACGCCAGGGCCAGCCGCGTTACAAGTAATCGCAGCCGGACAGCGGCGAGACACCATCTCACCAACGGTAAGTATAGCGCACCAGCGGGCATTGCCATTTACGTCGCTATCCTGTCGAATCCGTCGCCGTCGCACAACCCGTGAACTCGGAGTCATAGCCAGAATGGAAGATCAAATAAAATAGCATGGAGCGAGAGCGGACACAATTTGAACGCCGGCGGGAAACCCCGTTAGAGTTGCAACTCGTCCGCGCCGGCAACATAAACAAGAGCGGAGATGGACTTCCGGCACTGCTGTGCCGACTGCCGGACGGCGGTTGTGTCTCAGAGGCAGAAATGCGATCGCAAGGAGCAGCAGGTGGAGACGGAAGCCCCAGCCAGTCGAATCGTTGACGGAAAGTTTAGAGGGTTATCTACAAGCTGAAAAGTGCACTTAGTAAGCGACTTGCGTACTATCCAAATTGATAATCCAATATGTACCTCGTGGAGAGTATCAACAAAGAGTGCAGATGCGTCCGTCAGCGTCGGGCAGCGGACGAATGGGCATCTGTCCTCTAGAAGGGTCGTCAGCCACACTCAACAACAGCCAGGGTTTCAACTTTGACCACTCGGCATCTTCTCTGTAATGCCGGATCCCGTGGATTGCCTCCGAGTCGCCCGCGACGAGGGGGATCTGCGTCCGAGTTTGCGGGGGAAGCTTTAAGTTAACCGGCCGTTTCGGACCGGGCTTTTCAGCGTCGTGGAGAAGACGACAACCACGGTGTGCTGCAGCCAATGATATGCATGAGCGGGATGGACCGCGACTCAGAGTACAAGGTTTCGAAGTCGGGGTTTCGATGGAATTCCGAATACACCACTGCAGCCCGCCCGCCTCCGACCCATGGAGTATTCCGGGAGGTTCGAAGAAATTGACAGATAGACCGTTGAGAGCAGCACCGGGTAACTTGGTAAGTCGAAGTCGATCCCAGAGCCACGGACGTCGACGAGCGTCGAGCACAGAGAGTGATAGTCACGCTGTCACCCATTTGTTGATTGTTTGATAAAACGCACGTGATGATCTACGAGTGGAACACCGACGACTCGGACCAACAGACGATATTGGTTCACTTGTTTTATCATCGCCACATATACCTCTACCGTTTCGGTGGATTTCATTGCCGTTCAGAGCCAACTGCTTTCTCTTCGCGCTCGGGCTGCGATTCGTCACACCGTCACACCGCTTATGGCATCTCTCCTCCGCATCATCCGCACGCCCGGACCTTCAACGATGAGCCGCCGCAGGCAACGCCGTGCTGTTGTTGTTCTTCCACGCTCCCATGGGCTCGACACAGACATACACCCATAACCTTGGCCATGAACGCAAGGAGTCTGCTGCCACCATTGCCGTCAATGTGGATACGTCGAGCAAGGAGGTGGGAGGCGAAGGGCCGAAGCCTGAGGCAGGAGAAGAGGTAGAAGAAGGGGGAGAGAAAGAGTTCCCAGATGGTGGGCTGCGTGCATGGGGGACTGTCTTTGGGGTGAGCTACCGTCACACCCAGTCGGGCGTCCAGGCCGAAAAGATTGACTTGACTTACAGGCGTTTATGATCAACTTCTCGTGCTGTGCGTTCTCCCGCCTGTCTTTTCTCATTTGGCTGAACGACGTATAGACGGTGTTGTCACCAGTGTAAGCTGCCAAGTGTTTTCCCTGGCAAAAACGCTTAACATGGGCTAGTTCGGCGTCTTTGAGCAATACTACTCAACGCATCAACTATCTACATCGCCACTGAGCGCGATTGCATGGATCGGTTCGTTGCAGCTTGCCCTTGTGCTCCTTATGGGCTGCGTAAGCGGACCACTGTTCGACGCTGGTGTATGGTTCTCCCTGGAGAATAACCACAGAGGCGGCTGACGCAAACTGAATGCAGTATTTGAAGCCTATGATTGCGGGTGCGGGCACATTCTACGTGTTCTGTCTTTTCATGACTTCGCTGGCAACTGGTGCGCTGTCTGTTAACGGTGTACATCAAGTCTGACCTTTATTTGTCAGAATTCTATCAGTTTGTCCTCGCCCAGGGCCTGGGTGTTGGGGTACGTGGGCCAACAATACTTAACTTGGACTCAACTTGCCGTGCCTAGATTTGCATGGGCTTACTATACTCGCCCGCCATGTCCACGATCGGACACCATTTCGCTCCGCATGGTCGCAAAATCGTTGCGTTTGGCGTGTTCTCCACCGGCGCGTCAATCGGTGGTGCGCTGGTCCCGATTGCGATGCGCCGCTTACTCGAGAGTGTCGGTTTTGCATGGGCGATGCGCACGTGTAGGTGTCGACTAGGTTTTTTTTGTCGTTGTTAATCATTTGGCAGTGGCGTTCCTGGTAATGTTCAGCATCCTTTGCGGCTTCCTGTTCTGCAACACACGTCTTCCTCCGCGCAATGGATCTCGCGTTTTAGATTTCACTGTCTGTGAGTCCTCCTCTCTTTGTGTATCCAACCTTGGCCCCGTCCTCGCTGCATGGCATGCGGATAGAGCAATCATTTCCTGCGGACCGGTACTGATCAATTTCAGTTCGGGACAGTGCATACTGCTTCATTGTTCTTGGGGCGTCACTCATCGGCCTGGGTCTCTATGCACCAGTTAGCTATGGCGTTACGTATGCCGTTGCCGCGCGGGGTTGACCAGAGCACGGCATTCTACTCGTTTGTGCTCTACTCTTACATTGTTCTCAATCTAATGCCTTCTGATCAACAGTCTCTCCCTCCTCAATGCGCTCTCCATTCCTGGTCGACTCCTCCCGAACCTGCTGGCGCAGCGGCTTGCTGGCCCCCTCAACACGCTCATTGCTTGTTGTATCCTCACGGGCGCGCTCGACATCGTGTGGCCATTCGTCCGCGCGGGGCCCGGCGGGGCCGGCGTGCTTGGCTTCAATGCGGCGTTCGGGCTCGCCAGCGGCGGGTACGTCAGCATGCTTGCGCCGGCAATCACATCGCTTGATGACAGCCACGGGAGCAACACGCATCAACAGCTCAAGAAGGGACAGACGACGGGAGTGAAGCTCGGCATGGCCTTCTTTGTTACGTCCTTCTGTTGGCTGGCAAGCGCGCCGGTGCAGGGTGCACTGATTCGACGGCGCCCGGGGGGGACAGACGAGTACTGGCCCGCGGGGGTGTTCAGCGGAGCCATGGTTTTGCTGGGTGTGGCGATGATTGGAGTGGCGAGATGGATTGTGGGACGGAGGATGGGCAGGTGGGACGTATAATCACGCTTACCAGTAAGTTGTTATCTGATGATTAGACGGGACAAGCGTGCCAAGAACGTATCATCCGTGCAAAAGCATCAATGGCATCATTCGCGTGATTGCTCTGTGACCCATATAAAAACCGTTGTGACCCCCAGAAAATCTCCTCCCTCTTTTATTCTCTGACCCCTACCAGCCGCTGCCTCCTCCCTATGCCGTGTGTTTGCTGTTCCATGTTAACTACTGTTTATCTCAGTTCCTCTGTAGTGTCTATGGTCATATCCAAGGTATCAACATTGGTGCAACCTTCCCCAGCCGTGCAGCTCTTGCCCAAGCCCGGGTGCATGCACCCCTACAGGCAGGAATTTGGCCTAACACCACAACTGGTGCATACTCTGTGGTTGTGAATGGTGGATATGAGGATGATGAAGATCATGGTGATTTGATGTGAGGCGTTTTTTCACTACAGGTCTAAAAAATGCATTGATCCATTATGGCCAGTTTCTATACTGGCCAAGGTATGCACTACAGGGTAACTTTGAAGGAGAATGAATTCATTTTCATATGTGCAGGTAAAGGTAGCCAGTATGGCCAGGTGAAACATATCACATAAGTGGTATAAGCAAACTGATATATGATATAGGCTATAAGTGGCAAGTCCCTTCAGCAGGGTGATCAGGATTGGAAGAATATTGGAAATCTGGCACTTAAGGTAGTTGACCACCTGCCACAGCTGTATACACATAACTTATCCTGAGCAGAGAAGCTCAGAGACACGCAAGCCAGTCCGGGTTATCCGTGGTGATAGGTGCAAGTCTAAATATGCTCCTTCACTTGGGTATATACTATCCTTGCATTAGTATCCTCAAAGCTAATAATCTATATACCAGATTTCGTTATGATGGGCTCTATCTTGTGACCAACCCTCGACGTGTGACAGGCAAGACAGGGTACAAAGTGTAAGGGCAACCCCGGAGGCCTGAGATCAAGGTCCTAGCAGGGGAGGATCCAAAGAGTGAATAGAAGTAAGCAAATACAAGTGAGGCTGACCTAGCAGGGGAGGATCCAAAGAGAAGAAACTCTAAGGGTCCGCCTGCTAGGTAGCGGAACTTATATACTGCGCTCTTGACGCGCCAAGGTTGATCGTTGCTCCGTGCAGTATGCCTGCGCCATGTCGCAGGCCAGGTCCCAGGGGGATCGCCAGGCGGGGCGGCGATGCGCCTGACGGAGGCGGTGATGCGATCGCCGGAGTCGGAACCGGAGTCGGACCGGAATCGGAGGCGTCTCCGAGGGGCCGAAAGGGAGGTTCCCCTGACATCCCCCCCCTTTGAATGCGGCGTCCCGACGCATAGACCGGAACGGAATCGAGTCGAAGGTCGCGGAGGCGATGTGTCGTGGCTTGCCAGGGTACTTACGATAGAACTCCGCAATTTTCTCCGGGGCGAAGACGGGGTCGAAGCGGACCCAGGTTGGTCGTGCGATGCGTCGTAGCCTTTCCATCTGACGAAGTAGTTCAGCCGCTTATACCTCACCCTTGCGTCCAGGATTTCCTCTACTTCCCACTCCGGGACTCCGTCCTCGAGGTCCGGAGGGGGCTGGTCGTAGCCGGGGCGTCCGTCGAAGGGGTCGTCCTGAGCGAGCTCGAGCTTGACGACGGGGAAGACCGGGTGGAGCTTCGAGTAGCGCGGAGGGGAGGTCGAGCTTGTAGGCACCTTTGCTGATCTCCGCGACTATCTTGAACGGTCCAAGGCGGCGATGGGAGAACTTTTCCGAGGGGCGAGTCGTCCTGATGTCAGAGGCATCCAGCCAAACACGGTCGCCAACCTTAAACTCCGGAGACGGAGTCCGTCTCTCGGTCGTAGTAGCGCTTGTACTCCTCTTTGGCCTTAGTGAGCGGCCTTGGCTTCAGCAACACCAGTGGCGATCCGGTCGCGGAACTCGTTCACTGACTCCATGGCGGAACGGACTCCGGGTTCGAAGCCCATGCGCGGGAGCCGTCCCGTGTCCGTCATGAAGGGGACCTGCTGCGTGGAGGAGTGAACGTGGTTGTTGTAGGCGAACTCCGCGGCCGGAATCAGCTCATCCCAGTCGTCCTGCTGGTAGTTGGTGAAGATCCGCAAGTACTGCTCCAGCTCCTGGTTGACGCGCTCTGTCTGACCGTCTGTCTGCGGGTGGTACGCGGTGGACGTGGCGGGCTTGATGCCGATTAGACGCCAAAGTTCTCGGGTGAAGTCCGCGATGAACTGCGAGCCGCGGTCGGAGACGTACTTCTCCGGAGTCCCATGGTGCCGCCAGACATTCCGGTAGTAGAGGCGGGCTGCCCCTACTGCATCGACCGTCGTATGACACTCTGAGAAGTGGGCGCGCTTTCCGAGGGTATCAACGACGACCATGATCGCGTCGTACCCATGGGCTTCGGGAAGCTCTACGATGAAGTCGACGGAGACGGTATGCCAGCGTCCGGAGGCGTTTCCGTGGGGTGCAGTTCTCCGTGGGGCAGTCTCCGGAGTGCCTTGGTGCGACAGCACAAGTCACAGGTCGCAACATACCGGCCGATATGGCGAGACATCTGAGGCCACCAGTAGTTCCGGGAGACCAACTCCAGGGTCTTGAAACGACCTGCGTGTCCGGCGACTCGGGTGTCATGGCAGAGCTCGATGATGCGTCTCCGGAGGTCCTTGTCTTTTGGTACGACGATCTTTCCTCGGAAATGGAGAAGACCGCCGGAGACGGCCCACTCGTCAGAACGTGAGGAGCGGGGGCCTCGAGCTTGACCTTGAACCTTAAGAAGTTGCCGGGCCGCTAGTGCGACGGGCTCCTCCAGGTCAGGCTCACCGGAGAGGGCATCACGGATGTCACGGAGGAGTTCGGAGCCGGGACCGGAAACGGAAACGCCCTCGAGTGCGCGGACGTGGAAGAGTTCAGGCCGCAGAAGGACGACGTCGGAGTTGTCGGAATCGACTCCGTGGTCGGGTCTCCGGGAGAGGGCGTCAGGCCGACCCATATCGCGGCCAGGCTTGTGGTGCAGCGTGAAGTCGAACCGGGAGAGGTACAGAGACCACCGGGCCTGTCTCCGGTTGAGGTGTTGCGTCTTCCTGAAGTACTCCAAATTCTTATGGTCAGTCCAAATCTCGACAGGGTGCGCGGCGCCCTCGAGGAAGTGTCTATACTCCTCGAGTGCGCGGATGATCGCGAGCATCTCCTTGTCGTGGATTTCGTAGTTGCGCTGGACATCATTTAAGCTTTTGGAATAGAATGCTACAGGGTGCCACTTCCCGTCCGGGGCGGATTGTGAAAGAACCGCCCCCGTCGCATAATCAGAGCTGTCCGCCTCAAGTCGGAAAGGCCGTGCGTCGTCCGGAATCGCCAGGACCGGTTCCGAGGTGACCGCGTCCTTGATCGCTTGGAACGCGGAGGCCTCCGCGTCGCCCCAAGTCCATTGCTGGTCCTTCTTGGTGAGCACGAAAAGAGGGCGCGCAAGGGTCGAGAAGTCCCGAATGAACCTGCGGTAGAAGTTAGCGAACCCGAGGAACTGCTGAATGTCCTTCTTGTTTTCCGGAGTCGGCCAAGCGGAGACGCCTGCGACCTTGACGGGGTCCATTTCGACGTGGTTGTGGGAGATGATGACTCCGAGGTACTCGATTGACGATTTTTCAAAGTCGCACTTCTCCGCTCGGAGGTACAACTTGTGCTCTCGGAGTCGCCGCAAGACCTCCTGAACAATCTGCCGGTGTTTCCGGAGGTCGGAATGGGCGATCAAGATGTCGTCAAGGTAGATCATGACGTCTCCGGAGAGGATGAGGTCCTGAAAAATGTCATTCATCATCGTTTGGAACGTCGCGGGAGAGTTTGTCAGGCCGAAATACATCACCAAGGGCTCGAACAGGCCTCGGTTAGTCCGGAAAGCCGCTTTCCACTCGTCACCTTCCTTGATCCGGACGTTGTTGAAGCCCCAACGGACGTCGAGTTTGGTGAAGTAACGAGCGCCTTTGAGCCTGTTGATGAGGTCGTTGATCAGCGGAAGGGGGTACCGGTTTTTGACAGTCATCGCGTTGAGAGCACGGTAGTCCTGGACGAAGCGGAGTCCTCCGTCCTTCTTCTTGACAAAGAAGACCGGAGACGCCATCGGAGACTTGGAGGGGCGAATCCGGCCCGTCGAAAGCCCTTCCTCGATGAACGCGTCGAGCTCGCGTTGCTCGAGGGGCGAGATGGGGTACACCTTGCAGTTGGTGGGCTTAGCGTCGGGGACGAGTTCAATGGCGTGGTCCCAGGCTCTCCGCTCCGGTAGCGTGTCGAAGGACTCCTTGTTGAAGACGTCCTGGAACTCCTTAGCCCAGTCCGGGATCTCGGAGGGCGGAGGGGCGGAGTTCCTGGCGAAGGCTTCGGCCAGGCGTTGCGAGACAGTACTGCCAGCGCGTATCTCCTCCGAGGGGGCGGAACGAGGTGTAGAAGATGCGGTCACCGTCTTCAAGCTGACCATCGTCATCGTCGTCGTCGGAGTCCGGCGTCAGATCAGGCAGGCCGGAGTCGTCACCGGAGACGGAATCGTCTCCGTCATCAGACCCAGAAAGGTCCATGGCACAGACCGAGGGGAACGGGCCGGAGCGGAGACGCTTCTGAAGCGACCGGAGTCGCCGCAACTCGGTCCGTTCGACCCGCTCTTCCTCACGGCAGGTCGAGCAATTGCGGGGGCACCGTGTCATCTTGACCTCCTTGGTTTCCCAATTGATCTCTGGGTTATGTTTCCGCAACCAGGAATACCCCAGGATGAGGTCTTGCTTGCCAAGATGGGTGACGGCCAGCTGAACTCGTTCGGCATGGCCCTTGTAGCGCAGGACCAAGTCCGCGATCTGTTTGATGGAGCCAGCGTCATTGGGGGTGCCATCGACATTGAAAACCGGAATCGGCTGATCGAGGGTGCGGACCGGAATGCCATTCTGAGCAACATAGTTCGTGTCAATGAAGTCGGAGGTGGCACCACAGTCGACAAGCCCAGAGAGTGAGAGCTTCAGCGCTGGTGG